CCCCCCCCCCAAAAAAAGTAGTTGTACTGGAATAATGGAGTCAAAAGCTTAGATTAGGGTAGGTTCAAGATTGATTGGGATGAGAGGCATTGGAGACAGTAAGTGTTAGATCTTCTGTGAAGTTTTATTGTAAATGAGAGCAAGAATGGCACAGTAGTTGGAGGAGGATATAGAGCAAAGAGATTTTTTTTTCCTTTCTGAAAGAAAATAAATTATCACATGTTTGGGTGCTAATGGAAAAAATTTAATAGGATAAAGAGGAGGAAAATGCCAGCATTGATATTCTTAAATGAAAAGAGAGAATGGTATATTTTTTGTGATAGGCAAGAATGTATTTTTGTGTGTGTGTGATAGGCATGTGAATAGTTTATACATAGCACAGAGAAGGAAAGCAGAATATATGGGCATAGATATGGGAAAACTGGACAGATAAGATGATAGAAGCTTGGGGAAGGTCCTGGTAGTTTTTCTTTTCTTCTTCTTCTTTTTTTTAAATAAGAAAAGTTAAATAAGTTAAATAAGAAAGTTAATAAATAAAAGAAAATAAAAAAGTTAAATAAGTTAAATAAGTTAAATAAGAAAAGCTTATTTTTTAAATAAGCAAAGTTATTAGTTGAGAGTAAGGATGGAAGAAGTGGTGTCAGGTTTGAATAGAGAGAAGAAAGTGAAAGCTACTTTGAGCATCCAAGTCAAAGTGAAGCTAAGTAGGTCTCTAGGGGCTGATCTCTTCCAGCTGTGAGTAGGCTCCTTCGTGAGCTATCAAGGGAAGTATAGTATATTTTATAGGACTCAGTTATGTTAGTCTTAGGACATCCTTGGAGAATATAATGAAAATTCGTCGTTACTGTATCTTGTATTTGAAGATGCCACCATATGAGGCATATCTTGCATCATTGTCTTGGATTCCTGTCCCCCATACTTTTTCCTCACGTGTATGTTTCAAGTACAAATAAACAATTATTTAGCACCTACTGTGTGTGCTAGACCTTGTGCTAATCCCAATGGATATTTTAAAAGTATTAGTTTTTGATGTTGAAAAGCCTGTACAATTTGATAAACTTAGAAATTCTTTCTTTGCTCTCATGTCAGTTATCCATTTCTGGGGAATAGTGGATTCTAATTTGCCTTATGTACCTCCAAAACTTTCTAAACTCAATACCTGATGTTTAAGGGAATTGAAAACTTATGGGCACTAGTTATTAGCCAAAATTGCTGTTGCAGCTGTGTGCTGCTGCAGGGAGCTGTTAGAAACTAACTGGCAATTCAGAGAGTAAGCACCATCTTGGTATTCTTAAATTCCTGTTGGAGACTAGGTGTTTCCAGTCACTATCCCCCAAAAGATACCATTATTAGCATTGAATACTGAGCTGAAATATATTGACCTTTTGAACGTGTTATTAAATCTAGTCCATCCTTTTCCAGGAAGGATATAGGTAATAATTGCTTTGTCCAGAAATCTTTGAAAAGAAAACATTTTATGAAAGAAGAACAGAAGACTTTGAAATTTTGTAGATCATTTGGGAAAAAATGTTTCAGATGCTTCTTTCCTGGAAGTGTAGTGGGTTATCAAATTATGGATATATCTTAAGTTCAGGTAGAGTTCTGAGTAAAATTTGGTTTCCAGAAAGCTTTCTTACACTATTGTAGTAGTTTTATGATCTTAGCCTTTCTAAATTTATCCTTTGAAATTCAAAATCATTCTTTGACTTAAATTTCTTCCATTTTTTTAAATACTAGGGCTTCTTGAGACATTCACATATGCACTGCAGAAGAATAAATATCACCTTTGTGTTTGCATGATTGACTTGCCCTCAAATAGTATTTGTTCTTCAAAGCTAAAGCCCATCTTAAGATTACTCAATTCTTTCTGCCTAAAATAACTTGTCAGTTCCCCAATAATGACCAAACTGGAGCACTTAATTCCTTATTTACAAAATGAAAGGAAGTGGAAAGGAAGTTAACGAGAGAATATATATCGTAGGTTAATCCATTTGGAAATAAGAGTGGATAAATTTTCATGGAACAAAACATACGTTATGAATATACAAAGATGAACTTTTAAAAAATGTTAATTTTAATTTTGCTACATTTAATTCAATTACTTTGCTTTCTAGTTTTGTTTCTAAAAGTTGTAAATTCCCTGGTCAAAAGACATGATAAATTGTAACATATGCAGAAAAGAGAAAGCATTTGGATGTTGAATAATTTTGTATTGGATTTTCCTTCATATTCTCCTACATAGTTTCTGATGAAGAACAATCAGTAGTATATGTTCCAGGTATGATTTTCTGTGTTCAAATTTGGGAGGCTTCCTTTGCTCTTTAAGTGTTGAGAGAAAATAGAACATGAGGACAACTTTGCAGGTATACTTGGATGCAGAACAGTGCATCAGAACCTAAAGTTCATTTTTTGAATATTTGGCATAACCCTATTAAAGTTTGAAATTTGGCTCATCTTAGGGACTGACTGGGCAAGTCAGCTTTTAATGAAGTTGTAGAATATTTTATGTATTAAGAGGCAGGAGACTTTTTTTTTTTAATTTTACGAATGATAGCCTAAACTTAATGTTTCAAAGAAAGTGTGAAAACTTCTTGATGTGGTGTGTATGTAAGTGACTTTTAAAAAGTTTACTGATTATAACTAAATGAATTGTAAAAACAAATCATTAAAGGCACCCTAACTGTGTGAAAAAGATCTTTGATTTACCCTAAGTTAAGGTATCTATGACATATTATAATTTATTGGTTAAGTGTGACTTAATAAACATTCAAAACACCTTTTAAAGATAATTCAGTAAAGTAGGGCACAGAAGTGCATGATTAGAGTCCCAGCCACCTGGGAGGCTTAGGCAGGGACATTGGTTGAACCCAGGAGTTGAGTTCTGCCTGGGAAGCATAGGGAGACCTCATTTTGGGGGAGGGGGGGAAATTAACAATTTTTGAGTTCAATCTTGAATGTATTTTTTAAAAATACAAACTTTTCATGATTCATTTGTTAAAAGCTTTAAAATGAAGTAAGAGTTTTTCCCATTAGGTCACTAAAGTAGAGGATACCAAGGCAAAAGTTGATTGGAGGGGGGAGGGCTTATGAGAATAAGATATAATTTTGAAATCTTGTTTAATTGAAACCCTTAGGAATTTCTACAGAAAGAAATAGCAGATCAAGATGCAAGGTGACAAGTCAAAAAGCTGATGTTAGGACTTCCAAGGTGACTGATACTTCAATCTCCATGGAGTCTTTAAAAGGTGCAGGTGATTATGTGGGTGAACAGGTCAGTAATTTCTTATTTTTTTCATATTCTCCAATCTTAACAAGTGCTAACTAATAAGAGTAAAAAAGTATTTGAAAAACACATTAGGTAATCTATAAGCATCTTAAAAGATTTGCAAGATTCTAAGATCCTTGATGATGCTGCGCTTGATAAAGTACCTAGATAACTCAAGGATTTTGCTCTAAAATTTCTACTTGCTTTAAACTTTAGCTAAGAATATGTATAATCTTGGTATGCCTCGAAAGACCTACATACTGATCTGTATTGTATTAGTTAATCAAATTGAAGAGAATTTTTTTTTAAACTAGACATCCTTGTTTACTTGTTCTTGTGAATTTATTATTATTATTATTTTTGAAACAATGTCCTACTTTGTAGTCCAGGTTGTAGTGCAGTGGCACAATCATAGCTCACTATAGCCACAAACTCTTGAGCTTAAGTGATCCTCTGTCCTCAGCCTCCCAAAGTGCTAGGATTATAGGCTTGAGCTACTTCACCTGGCTGCGAATGTATCATTTTATGAATAAACTTTTTCCCATAGAAGGATGCATGTCTTAACACAATAACTAAGAAAATGCCGTGAAGGCTATGTTAACCAGTTTGATGAAAGCATTTCAGATTGTATGTAAAACCAGCACATTGTACCCCATGATTGCATTAATGTACACAGCTATGATTTAATTAAAAAAAAAGAAAAGAAAGGAAAATTAGCCTGCATTATAATTATTATATCCTTCCCTTGGAAACTAATTTCATAAAGATTCTTACTTCTTACAGCCCAGTCATTGAGGTTTGTCCCTTGTCTTTACCTCTGTAATAGTGTCTACATGTTCTTTTTTGTACATGTCCTATCCAGCCAGTTTAATTTGGCTTTACTTTTTGTTGTATTTCTCTCCCCAACCAGAGTTCAAATCAGGGTTTGGAATCTATGACTTGCCAGCCAAATCCTCTTGCTGCCTATTTTGTAAATAAAATTTTTTGGGAACACAACTATGCTCATTAATTTACATGTTGTCTATGGCTGCTTTCATGTTATAATAGCAGAGTTGTTACAGAGTCTGTTTGCCTACAAGCCAAAAACATTTACTGTCAGACCTTTTGTAGAAAACATTTTTCAGTTCTTGATCTATGTTCTTTTTTTTTTTGCAGTTTTTGGCCTGGGCTGGGTATAAACCCGCCACCTCTGGCACATGGGTCCAACGCCCTAGTCCTTTGAGCCACAGGCGCTGCCCATTGATCTATGTTCTTGGAGACATTATACTGGTTTGTTTGTTTTATATTGAACAAATAGCCTTCTTTTAGATTAAGTTCCTATTTTTGTGCTATTGGCTATAACTCTTGATTGGGTTATTTTAGTGGGTTCTTTAGGGGTTATAGTGTATGTCTTTAACTTATTATAGCCTATTTTCAACTGGTATTTCCCCACTTTACCTATAGTTTAAGGACTTTTTAAAAGTATACTTTGTTTCTCCCTTCGTGTTTTTGTCATTGTCATACATTTTCCTTCTATGCCCAAACCCCTAAATATTTGTTATGACTTGCTTTAAATAGTCAACTGTCTTTGTTTTTCTTAAATCGAGATATAATTCACATATTATAAAACTCACTCTTTTAAATTTTATTATTTTTTGTTTGGGTTTTTTTGGGGGGGGTAATATGTACAGAGTTGTGGATCCATTCCCATAATCTTAATTCTAGAACATTTTTATCACTCCGGAAAGAAATGCCATACCAATTAGCAGGCATTTCCTATTCCCCAGTCATCTTAGCCCCTTAGCAACCATTATTCTACTTTCAGTCTCTATAGATTTGCTTGTTACTGACATTTCATGTAAATGGAGTCACATAGTATGTGGCCTTTTGTGGCTGGCTTCTTTTATTTAGCAATGATTTCAAGGTTCATCAGTGTTTTATCATGTGTCATTACTTCATTCCTTTCTTTTGCTAAATATGTATTTTGTTTATCTTTTTTTAACAGTTAATTGACATTTGGATTGTTTTACTTTTTAGCTGTTATGAATAATGCTGCTATGAACATTCATATACAAATTTTTATGCGGGCATATGTTTTCAATTCTCTTAAATATATACCTAAAAGTAGAATTGCTGGTCATGTGGCATTGCATATTTAACCTTTGAAAAAAATGTCAAGCTATTTTCCAAAGTGACTTCACCATTTTACATTCCCACTAGCAACATATGAGGATTCCAGTTTCTCTGCATTCTTGCCAACATGTCAGTTTTTTAGATAATAGTAGATGTGGATTTTAGTGGATTTCATCGTGGTTTTGATTTGCATTTCCTTAATGACTAATGATGATGAACATCTTTTTATGTACTTCTTGGTCATTTGAATATCTTTAGACAGATAGCTAGTCAGATCCTTTATAATTGAGTTATCTATCTTTGTATCATTGAATTATAAGAGCTCTTTTTAAAAGAATCCATCTGCAGATCTACTATCAGATAGATGTTTTGCTAATATTTTCTGCCTTCTTACTGACTGATGTTCTTTGAAGCATAAAAGTTTATAATTTTGATACATTTCAGTTTACCTATTATTTCCTATGCTTTAATGTCATCTAAGAAATCATTGCCTAATCTAGGGTTACAAAGATTTATGCCTATATTTTCTTCTAAGAGTTTTTATAGGTTTAGTTGGTACATTTAGTCTTTGTTCCATTTTGAGTTAAATTTATTATGTGGTATGAGGTATTGACCCAATTTCATTCTTTTGCATGTAGATATCCAGTTGTCCCAGCACGGTTTATTGAAAGGAATATCCTTTTCCTGTGATTGTTCTGGTACCCTTGTCAGTGCCTACAAATGTCAGGGTTTGTTTCTGAACTCTCTAGTCCGTTGCTTTATTTTTATTTTTGGAATTGTAAAGTATAAGTCCTCCAAGTTTGTTCCTCCGTTTAAAGATGGTTTTGGTTGTTCTAGGTCCTTTGTACTTCCACAGGAATTGTAGAATCAGCAAGGATTTATACTTTCTGATGTTATTATAAATGGAATTATTTTCTTAATTTCATTTTTGGATTGTTCACTGCTCATTTATAGAAATAAAGTTAATTTTTGTGAATTGATCTTGTATCCTGCGAGTTTGCTAAACTCACTTATTTTTAATCTAATAGCTTTTCTTGTAAATTCCTTACAGTTTTCTATATATAAGATTATGTCATCTGTAAATAGATGTTCCTTTTGAATGCCTTCATTCCAGTTTGGAATGCCTTTTATTTTAACTGCCTTTTAAAGAAGTTTTAAAAATGTAACAAAACTCCTTTAAATCTACCCATGTAGTTACCATTTCTGGTTTTTTTTTTTTTTGAGACAGAGCCTCAAGCTGTCTCCCTGGGTAGAGTGCCATGACATCACAGCTCACAGCAACCTCCAACTCCTGGGCTCAAGTGAGTCTCCTGCCTCCGCCTCCCAAGTAGCTGGGACCATAGGCGCCCGCCACAATGCCTGGCTATTTTTTGGTTGCAGCCGTCATTGTTGTTTGGTGGGCTCAGGCTGAATTCAAACCCTCCACCTTAGGTATATGTGGCTGGTGCCTTAGCCACTTGAGCCACAGGTGCGAAGCCCATTTCTGGTATTTTAATTCTTTTGTATATATCTAGTTTTTCATTTGGTATTTTCCATCTGCCCTAAAGGACTTCCTTTGACATTATTGTAGCACAGGGATGCTGAGAATGAATTTTTTCAGCTTTTGTACACCTGGAAAGTCTTTATTTCTCTTTCATTTTTGAAAGCTATTTTCATTGGTTATAGAATTCTGAGTTGATAGTTTTTTTCTAACAGTACTATAAGGATGTTGCTGCACTATTGGCTGGCTTGCTGGAGAAGTCTGTTCTGATCTTATTTTTCTGATCCTTATTTTTATTCCTTGTGTGTATGTGTGTGTATAAAGTCCGTATGCTTTTAGGATTTTCCCTTTATCACTGGTTTTGAACGATTTGATTGTAGTATGCCTTGGAGTAATTTTTAAAATGTTTTACTTGGAGTTTGTTGAGCTTTCTAGATCTGTGGATTTGTAATCTGTCAAATTGGGAAATTTTTCGGCTATTATTTCTTCAGTTTTTTGTTTGTTTGTTTTTTGAGACAGTCTTACTATGTCGCCCTTGGTGGAATGCCATAGCATCATGGCTCACAGCACCCTTCAAGCTCTTGGGCATAAGCTATTCTCTTGCCTCAGCCTCCCAAGTAGCTGGGACTATAGGCGCCCACCACAACTCCCAGCTATTTGTTGTATTGTCATTGTTATTTAGCAGGCCTGGACTGGGTTCAAACCCACCAGCCCTGGTGTATATGACTGGCACCCTAACCACTGAGCTATGGGTACCAAGCCTTCTTCAGATATTTTTGTGTTTCCCTCTCTCTTTCTTCCAGTGACCTCAGTTACATAAGTATCTGGCTACTTGGAGTTACTTCACGCTCTCTGGGCTTCTATTCATTTTTTTTTTTTTCATTCTTTGTTTATCTTTGGATAGCTTATATTGCTGTTGCTCTGTCTTTTTCTTTTTTCCTTTTTTTTTTTTTTTGGCCGGGGCTGGGCTTGAACCCACCACCTTTGGCATATGGGGTCAGCGCCCTACTCCTTTGAGCCACGGGCGCTGCCCTATTGCTCTGTCTTTAAATTCAGTATTCTTTTTTGCAGTGTCTCATTTGCTGCTAATCTCATCCAGTATATTTTCATATGGAATGATGTAGTTTTTATCTCTAGAAGTTCAGTTTGGGTCTTCTGTGTTTCTACTTAATATACTCTATCTTTTAGGTTCTTGAACATGTGGAATATAGCTATCATAACTTTTAATGTTTTTAACTACTAATTCTATTATCCAAGTCATTTATGGGTAGGCTTTGAATGAGTAATTTTTCTCCTAATTATAAGGTGTGTTTTTCTGCTTCTGTGCCTGCTTATTTTCATTTTATTTGATATCACCAGATCATATGAATTTTATTTGTTTAGGTCCTGGATATTTTTGTATTTCTAGAATAATTTTGAGGTTTATTCTGGGATAGTATTAAGTTGTTTGGAAGTAATTTAATTCTTTCCAAGCTTAATTTTAAGCTTTTTTTTTTTTTTTTTTTT